GAATGAAACGGTATGAAATCGGTATGGTACGGTGGGGTTAGGATACGGTTTCGGTATTTCGGTTTAAGATGCCCACCCCTATTACCCTCTGTCCGGGGTGTGCCATAATTAATGCAGGAATTTACATTTATAGTATGGTTAAGTTGGGTAGCCGTAGGGGGATCCACGTTTGGGCTGAGGTGGGCTCCATCCCAGTGCTGATTTTAGAGACTAGGCTTAATGGCTTGGAGCAATCAAATTTAATGGCTTCTTCACCTGCTGAAGTCCCTTGAAATTCAATGTATCTCACATCACTCACACCTACACCCGAAATCTGCCTTTTTTCAAAACAAATCACAACCATATAATTAGAACTTAATTGATTACTGAATTTTTGCAGTCATGAAATAGTACTTACTGAATTTTATTTCTTGGTAAAACGTATTTACATGAAGGGAAGCAATGCACTAACCTAATTCCATGGCATGGTCCGCATACATTGTTTGTGTGTGGCGGAAACAAATTTCACAAGATGGAAGATATGAAACCGTTGAAACAAACAAAACTAAGATATGTAAATACAGAAATCCAAAGAGTACAAGGATTTATACTGGTTCAGCTCATATACAGTTTAAGACGACGAGAAATTCCAATAATATCCCAAAGGAGATTACAACCATTGGAAATTAACACTCTCACCTAATTTAGGAATTAAAGAGTTTATCTCTCATAACCCAAGTCCCAATTACACCCAAGTCACTTTTAAGCTTGTCACACACAAAAGCCAACGAATTTTTAATATGTACGCTATATTTGAGCCAACCATGTACGTGAGCCTTTCCTTGTTTGTTGCTGTGCCCTAAATCTCTGTGTTCTCTAGTTGGTAGAGCCAATATCATATACACTTTTGTGCTGCCATGAAAGGAAGCAGTAGCTCCCTGTCGTCCAGGTCAACCTCGCCAAGAAGACGATCGAAATCCAAAAATATTAGTATTGTTCATCTCCCAGACGTTGTATTGATTGAAATACTTTGTCGACTATCTTGCAACATACTGATTTCTCAATGCAAGTGTGTGTGCAAGCATTGGTTCACTCTAATCTCCAGTCCTTGTTTTATCGAACACTTTCTGCGTCACCGGAGTGATAAGAAAGCACCCATAATACGCACCCTGATAGACCGCGATGCAGAGGAACTCAACGGAATTTTGCCATCGTCCAAGGTGCTAACTCCTGTCATGAAAACACTCCAGAGTTTGGACTTTTTCAAAGAAAACCCAGTTGTTGTGGGGACATATAATGACTTAATTCTGTGTTGTCGAAACAATTATAGCAGCAATAATTACTGCATATGCAATCCATACACCATGCAATGGGTTGCTCTTCCTCTCCCTCCTAATGCTCCTGAGGGAGGATCTGTAGCAGTCGGATTCATCTGCGATAGGCCCTACTATAACTACAAGAAGGAAAACAACGAGAAAGGACATGGCATGCAGGAATGTAGGTACAGGGTTGTGAGAATTCTTCCTCCAGATATGTTGAAATATAAGTGGTGAGCTGAT